GCTCCCAGCCTCTCCTTTTTTTCTTTTTTCTTTTTATTCTGGGATTTATCTACCTTCTATAATTGAAACTTTGTTGCCTTGAGTGGAGCTCAGAGCCGGCTGCGTCAGGTGGGAAGCTTGGCTTCCTCCATCACTGGGCCACCAAGCCTCCTTGCTCTAGCCCCGTGGCTGCCGGCCGCCATCTTGGTTGGGTTAATTTGCATATAGTCACTCTGATTGGCTGGTGGGCGTGGCTTAAGGCATAGTGAAGGTACGGTCAATTTGCATATTTGTCTTTTATTAGTGTAGATTACTGAGGTAGGATTGGTTAATAACATTATAGGTTATAATGTTAACATTGTATGTAATTTGGCATAATTCTGCTATTTTTCTTCTCAGTATGTATCTGAGGAATATTAAAAAACCAATTCATGAAGATATATTTACCCTTATATTCATTGTAGCACTATTTACAATAGTCAAGATATGTAAACAACCTCTGTGTCCATTGTTGGGTGAATCAACAAAGAAGTGGTACATATATACACTGGAATACTACTCAGTCATAAAAAAGAATAAGTATTGGCATTTGCAACAACATCAATCAGGAGAGTACTATCGTAAGTGAAATAAGTCAGAAAGAAAAGGACAATAATCATGTGATTTCACCTCTTTTTCTTTAGTGACCCACTTTTAGTTTTCTTAGAATTGACTTAATTTCCTCTTTTATGCTGTCAATCCATCACCTTTTACCTGGGAAAGAGATAAAACTAAAATGATGGAAATGGCTAAAAATAAATAAAAAAATAATAATTAAAACATCAAGTCTTTTCTTAGTTTTCCTAAATTTTTTACTTGAAATATTTCAGACCTCTGGAAATTTGAGGAACATCTATGTACCTTTCAGCAATTATTGTTTTGCCACATTGATCTATCTCTTTATGCACACATAAACACACACTTTCATTTAATATCAAATTTACAAACTTATGTAATATATGAAATTCACATAACATAAATTAAATAATTTTAAGGTGTACAATTTAGTGGCATTTAGTACATTTGCGATATGCACTCATCCTTCTATCTAGTTCTAAAACATTTTCATCACCCCAAAGAAGACTCCATGCTCATTAGGTAGTCATTTCCCATTACCCTCTCCCAATCCTGGCAACCACCAACCTACTGTCTGTCTCCACAGATTTACCTATACTGGATATTTCATATAAATAGAATTTTCCAATATATAACCATTGTGTCTGAATTCTTTTACCTAGAATATGTTAGAGATTCATTCACGTTGTAGCATTGTTATTGGCTGAATTATATCTCCTCAAAATTCATGTTGAAATCCTAACCCCCAGGACCTCAGAATATGACTATACTTAGACAAAGGGTCTTTACATTTTTTTTTCTTTTGTTGTTAATCCGAGGATATTTTTCCATTGATTTTTAAGAGCTTGGAAGAGAGAGGGAAAGACAGAGAGAAACATTGATGTGAGATGTGAGAAAAACACATTGATTTCATGCAAATAGCCATCAGCCCCTCACCCAGGCTGGCCATACCTCATGGGGTGAGGGTACCCCCTGGGGGGCTTAGCCAGCCTGAAAATGGCCCTCAGCCCCT